TATATATATATCTCTCTCTCTCTCAGAGTCTGTCTTGGCAAGGCTTCACAAAATGGTTTACATGGGATGGTAAAAGAGGAGGGAAGTCATTTTACCTGGAAATCGAATAATTTCTGCCGCTCGTCCGCTCTGCTGTAGCGCCTGCACAAGTTTTTGACATTGCGTTGTCTTCCCGGCTCTGTCTACTCCCTCAAGAACAATTAAAGCTCCTCTTCTGTAAGACATGGCTCTTAAAAACACTGTTTAAAAAAGGCAGAACAACAGGGAGCAAATACTAGTTAGCTCTTTACGCGGTACTTTTCTTTTAAAAAAACACCCGGAAATTCGTATCGTCCTCTACTGTTGCCAAGTCCGCGGTTTTCCCGTGTAATTGGGCTACTTTAACACTGTTGCCGCGGGTTGTTTTTCATGTCCGCGGGTTGAAGCGACTGCGATAACATGATATGTATCCCCCTGGAATGCGAATTTTAGTAGGGGAACCCCGCCAAAAAACCCCCCCGGAACTCGATTTTTAACTGGGGACCCCCTCGAAACGCAATTGGGCTAGTTTTGAGTAGCGATTGGGCGGCTTTTCTCGTGAAAACCTGGCAACCCTGACGGTGCCCGAGAAGGGACAACGAATCCGACCTCCCTGATTAGAAACGGTGAGGACACAGTTGTTTATAAAGTTTTATTTATGTCAACTTCAGACATGAGGCTTAGGCAGATTATTTAGTTATGCAATGTTGTAATGAAGTACTAATATTTATTGTAACCATTTTTTGTGCCTTTTAATTAGTTTAAATGCCTGAATTTAGTTTAAACGCAATTATGTATCAACGAATCCGACCTCCCTGATTAGAAACGGTGAGACACAGTTGTTTATAAAGTTTTATTTATGTCAACTTTTAATATTTATTGTAACCATTTTTTGTGCCTTTTAATTAGTTTAAATGCCTGAATTTAGTTTAAACGCAATTATGTATATGTTGTCCTTAAAGCTACACTATGTAACTTATTTATATATATATATATATATATATATTATTAAAGAGAGTGCACCAAATGTACCTTCTATGACAGACAGACAGACAGACTGATATATGTTTAGATAAGGGTTTGGAGCAAAATGAGGGCGGGTAAATGAAAATACTTTTATTTTGGCTGAATTATTCCTTTCAGATTGCATATACTGTAGCACTTTTTGAATTAGTTTATTTTGGGATATAGCAAAACAAAAGCCATTTTGTAAAATGAAAATGTTCTTGCAAAACGGAAAAGATACAGAAAAGAATAATTTCTGTAACCTTTAATGCCTACTTTTAATGCCTACTTAAAAGATTCCATTATTGCTGATTATGCCATCAGAAAGAAACAAATATATAAAAAAAAAAATGTGGAAAACATGTTAGCAGTTTTTCAATTAAAATGTAACAACTGCTAATATTGTAGGCTTTTATTTTTTGTACACATTTGTAAGTGTCAGCTATATTAATGATACTGCATGTAAATGATGCGTTTCATTTTGTTTAAAGAGGGGCACAAAGGTTTTTCTTTCAAAGAGGGACATCGCCATAAATAACTGAACACCACTGATATAGGGTTAAAATGCTGGACGTTTTATTGATGGCGGGTCATGCTGTCAGACTCTGCTCTTATGACAGTGTTTGAGCGCTTCAGCCAAGGCCTCCAACACCTTGTCCACATTGGCCTTGCTGCTGTTACATCCCATCAATCCCACACGCAAAACCTGTAAGAAATATGAGAAACGAGTTATTGTTACTGACCATTGAGTCAATGACCTGGGAACAACTTAATGTCCTGACGTCTGTCAGTTATGATTAATCAAAACCAATAGCTTCTCACCATGCCAGCAGATGGTCCAAGACCCCCAGAGATTTCTATGTTATAGGTCTTCATAATATACCCTGTGATTTCCCGCCAGTCATATCCTGGGGGAGCTACTATTGTGGTCACCGTTGGCAGTCTTGCTTTCTATAAGACACAAGATGCTTTCAGAAAAGGTAATGTGAGTTATAGTCTTTTGATATATATGTTCTGTGAAATCTGTTGTGATGTTTAAGGCTTCTTCTGCCAACCTTATCCTGCACAAACAGTTTTAGGCCCATTTCTTCCAAGCCTTTATGGAAGTACTCTGCAACCTCTTTGTGCCGTTTCCATGAGTTTTCAAGACCCTATAAAAATAAAATATGTGGTAAACATATGCCCTTTTTACAGTATTCACTTTTATTCAAGTATTCAAGTGCTTGATAACCTCATGCTCAAGGCTGCACCATGTAACTATTGACGTTATTATTTGACATATATATTAGTTTACATTTCTCAGATTTGCTCAAATTCATGTTGATGTTTCTGGTTGTTTGCTCTTCAGATGATCATAGCAATATATCATTTCAGTGTGAGTATAAGGCAGAATATGATCTCACAGTCTCTGCGAGTATGGCCAGACTCTCACGCAGTCCATAGAAAGAAGATACAGGTCCAGTGTGGTGATAACTGTACAGACAACAGTTACAGCAACTTTAACATACAGTAATTTTCTGTCACCATTTAGTGATAGAGAATTGACTATCTGATAAGAGGTCTGAGCATATTGATTTTTGTCGTGGACTGCTTTGTTTGAACTTAACATGAATGAGGCCTCCAGTGTTTAATGAGCTGTTATATCAGTGCTTGATAAATGTGATGAATAGTTCTTACACGCGTACAGGCTTGTCATCACAACCCCAGTAATTTGCCAACCAGTTCAGATCCAAGAAGTAAGAGATTGGTTTTGTCCTCCTGTTAAATATTTTCTGGCTGTTTTTCCAGAAAAAAAAGTGATAGACGAGAGGTGGAATATTTGTCACGTATTAAAAAACAAAAAAAAAAGGGCTTGAAGCACTTTTGTCTCACCATGCTCTCTCACTGAAGGAGATTGGTGCAGTTCCTGGAGGTGCGTTCAAAACTTTCTGAGAGCCAGTATACATAATGTCAATACCTAGAGATACAACATGTACATTTTAAATAACGGACCCCATGCAGGCAGTGATTGTAGCACCAGAGCATGCAACATGGCGATACCTTGCTCATCCATGAAGATAGGAGTACCTCCCAATGCCGCTACTGAATCAACCAGAAATAAACACTTGTACCTGAGTGACAGAACAGAATTTACTCAAAACAAAACAAAATAAAAACAAAGTTATATATATATATAAAATGTAATGTAATACATAATTATAAATATATAAAATAACACAGAAGCACACACATATACGTATTATAAAAAGCTTCTGCTAACTTAATAAATGTAAATAATTTTATTATGTTATTTTAGTATCACTGATATACTATTATTAGTTTTTGTAAATATATTGAATTATATTTTATGTTTTAATTTCAAATTCTATTTAAAGTTTTAAGTTTTATTAGCTCTGTCTATGTAGTGTTTTTTAGTTTTAGATTTATATCAATATATTTTTTTAAAGTTTGTTTTTATTTCAAGTAATTCATTTTTTTATTGTTTTAGTTTTAGTTAACAATAATAATGCTGGTTAGTCTAGAAGGTATTGGGGGAGGGACATTCTCATTCTAGACAGCATTTGATTGGACACAAATCTGTGTTTTCTATTTTCCATCCTCTGTTTTCCCAGAAGAGGAAGACTGTTATACCTGCTAATGGTGAATTTTTAGGAGTACCCTATCTGATGACCACAAAATTTGTAAAAAATAAACTTAAAACTTTTAATAAAGAGTCTAAATCTGAAGCGTATTGAAAAATCAAAGCTCTATTCAGGGGGAAGGTCTCACTTGTGGCAAAGGTCACCTATGCCGTCTATGGGGTGGACCACTCCTGTGGAGGATTCTCCATGTGTGAAGAAGAACACCACTGGCCTGTATTTATCTAATGCCTGTAAAACAAGAAAAGCATGGTTGGTCGTATGTAGTAAATAAATAAATGGGTAATGAAACATAATGTGTACCTGCTCAATTTCCTCATTTGTAAAGTACCCACCAGCAGAGGTTACAACTGTGTTCACCTTGGCACCTGTTGAAGAGTGTTCCATATATGAATTAATGATGTTCTGGATCACCTTTATAAATCTTAGTTCCAGGCTTTCTAGTAAAAACTGAATCAGTACCTATCCTCTCAGCTATCTCTGCAGCCCTCTCTCCCCATATGCCATTGACGGCTATGAGGATGCTCTCTCCGGGCTCCAGTGAGTTAAAGATGGCACACTCCATAGCAGCATGACCCGGTCCACTCACAGCCAGAGTCACTCGGTTTCGGGTCTGAAACGCATACTGAATGCCACTTTTGATCTGATTCATAATCTGAAAGTAAAATGAGCAAACAGTGAATTAATTGTATTCATAGATATGGATTATGACATGATTATTTATGTAACAAGACTACTGATTTATTTACTTTTCAAAATCTCTTATTGACAAGATACTATACCGTTTATTTTCTTCGACCAGTACAATGTCACTAGCCTGATTCAAGTAATTTTGCCTACGTATGTTTCAATTGTTTAAAGGGTTTAAAGTTCACTTAAAAATGAAAATTCTGTCATCATTTACTCACCCCTATGTTATTCCAAACCTGAGACTTAATTTCTTCTGTTGAACATATAATATATTTTGTCAATTTTGCTAACCAAACTGTTTTGGTGACAATTTAATCCCATAATACAAAAAATACACTGGGACATGTCCCAAAATATCTTTATATATATATATATATATATTATTATTATTATTTTTATTTTTTACATATTTTTTTTTCCACATAAGAGAGAAAGTCAGCTTACAATACAGGTTTTGAGCAATATAAGGGTAAGTAAATTATAATATTGGTGAATTATCCCTTTAAGCCTTTATGATTCAACATGGTAAAGCATCATCATATTATATAAAAATGGTGACCTAGTCAGTAGTACCTATAGTATGCACCTAATAAACACAATGTACTGTATTACCTCAATGGTTTCTGTGTGCAGGTGGCCCAGCATGGGCTGTGCTCCGGCTGCTGCGATCCGTGCGGGCACATTGGACGGTCCTGGCCCAAGCATAAGTCGCTGGGGGACGGGGAAAGGCTGTAACAGACATTCCGGTGGAAGAACGGACAGAGAGGACATAATGCTGCCGGCACACTGACAGACTGAGGCAATGGTTAACTCATGTAAACTGTGAACAAACCTTTCACCTGTTGGCCAATCATCTCACTTTGAGACCTGATACACTGTACAGTGCAGCTGAGCAGTCACAGCAGCTGTTTAATTAACTAACATTTCACTTTCCGATTTTCTATGCAAACGTATAAATATATATATTTGCAAAATGGAATATGGAGTAGGCATTGTTCCAGCATCTTTCAAATGTTGTTGGACATAAGTAACACTTTGACAATGTTTGGTCATAAAAATAAGAGTAGACCACAAATATAAGTTTAAGAACATATTTTTTTGAAATTCTTTATTATTAATGTATTTTTACATGCAACTCATTAAATGAATTCTAAAAATGTTAAGCAAACTTTGAAATTCACTGTTTTGCTTCGAAGTTGGGTTAAACATGAATTACTTCTTTTACTTCTATTATTTCCAGATGAAACCTTTAATTAAAATAGAGCTTGGTCATTGACAACATTGTATGTTAACAGTATTCATTATTAATTAATAAAAAATATTAATTGATTGATTTAAAATGTCCAAAAATTCATCACATTCATATTTTAATGCTTAAAGTACTATTCTGTGTCAGCTGTGTATTTTAGGGTTCTAAGAGACCACACAGATATTTTAATTGGCTCAAAAATATGTTTAACATTTATGTACAAATTATATAACAATTTTAACCAAAACATATCAGCTTAATGATATGTTCCAAAAGCTCCATGAAAAATTGTGCATGCTCAAAGAGGATATTTTAAAGAATGTTTCGGTTCCCATTGACTTTCACTGAATGGACAAAAAATACAAAGGGAACCGAAGTCAATGAGAACTTAATCTGAACTTTCTTCAGAATATCTTCTTTTATCCTCGACAGAAAAAAGTCAGTTATACAGGTTTGAAATGCTACAAGAAGTAAATTATGACAGAATTTTATTTTTTGGATGTACTATTCCATTGAAATTAAAGATTAGGTTAATTCTGAAATGTAGTAGTAGTATTTAATGTTTGTGCAAAGTGTTAGCCAATGCATTTTTGAATAAACCACAATACTGCACAATCAATAATCAATTCAAATAAATTGTACTCTAAAATTAGATGCCTCACAGTACCAGTTTTACCTAACAGTGATGAGTAAGGTGAGATAATGTAATGTGTTCTATGTGCTTAGTTTACAGTGGGTCCGGCGTCTTGTGCTGGATAAAGAGATGCTTCCCCAGAGGCTGAGAACTGAAAGAGCCATGACTGTAAACCACCTTCCCTCGGACTATAGTGGCCTTCACCTTCCCTCGCAGAGCAAGGCCAAGGTACGGAGTTAACTGAAAAGAAAGAAAAAGTGAAAAAGAAACATAATTTCCCTTCACTAATACATGAATATTGAGTAAAAGTTAACCTACCTTGTTTTTGTGATGTATGTTGTCTTCGTTCACCTAGGAAATTAAATGATAAGCATTCACTTGCAGGCTCCAAAACGTTTTCAGTGTGTTTATAAAGGAAGACAACAAGCATGTTCTATTTGGATATCAGTCATTTAGAGCATCTCAGCTCAACCCCCTTGAGTGAGTCCCTCTCTTTCTCACCGTAAACTCTTTTTCTGGATCCCAAATGACTAAGTCTGCATCGTGACCTGGAATGAGACTCCCTTTTTGGTTGTCAAGGCGACAGAGTTGAGCAGGCTCTTTACACAAGAGTCTTACTGCGTCAAAAAATGAAAACCCTCTTTTAGAAGCTGATGTCCAGAACAAAGATAAACCTGTTGGTAAACAGCGAGATGAATGACAATTTTAGTGACGCCATATAAAATGTGTCTCAGGTCTTTGTTTACTCAAAATGCATGACAAACACTCTTGCGTTTGGTCATTTAACTTACAATACCATGAATTTCTCTACAGATTCATTTGGCCATAAAATTGGATCTGATCCAAGTCACAATAATAGCCAACAATTCACAGTTTAAAAGGGTGCTATTATGCTTTTTCACTTTTTCATCTTGAGCTAGTCTGTAATGTTGTTGTTTGAGCATAAAAAAGATCTGCAAAGTTACAAAGCTCAAAGTCCACTTCAAAAGGAGATATTTTATTTAACAGAAATTTCCCGACCACGCACCGAGTGGTGCCAATCACAACACACACTGGCCCAGCTAACCAATCACATTTTTCACATATTTCAGAAAGCGGGCCTTCATTTGATTCAGGAACTATTCGAGCCGTTCATGCCAGACTGGGGAGAGAGGTGTTGTAATAATGTAAAATATGTGAAAAATAATGTGTTTTTCGAACAACCTAGTATGAGAGCCTGTTCTAGTTCACCCCAAAACAAAATCAAGACTTTGTAAAAGAGCATAATAGGACCCCTTTAACTGTACAGTTCAGGGTGGAAAAAGTAAGTGAACTTTTTTTGGCAGCAATAACCTGCACAAGGGGCCCTATTTTAACTATCTAAGTGCATGGTCTAAAGATCACGGCGCAATTGCTCTTTAGGGTGTGTCCGAATCCACTTTTGCTAATGGAAAAATGGTTGGCGCGCCCAGTGTTCTGACGATTTGTGCTACCCGCTCAGATTGTGCTACCTCCCATTAAAAATATAGGTAGCACAAATCGATACCGAAAAATGCTAACTTTACCTATCAGATTGTGCTACCAGCATCTTATTCATGTGGTTTGAGGCTTTTTTTAATGTCCATACCTACCCCTACCCTAAACCTACCCTTAAAACAATGCAAATATATTTTTGGTAGCACAATCTGATAGGTAGCATGTTTCATCGGTACACCGGCACATGGTCTAAAAGGATTGTCCCTATTCTCTTAAAGAGTAATGGGTGTGTTTTGGGCATAAGGTGCCATAAACCAATCACAGTCTCATCTCCCATCCCCTTTAAAGGCCAGTTGCGCTCGCGCCGTGGCGAATTCGCTATTTACATGGCGGAATTTACAAGCAGAAAAACTGAACGCTTCTCTAGCGAGGAAACGGATCTGCTCGTGCGCGTAATTCTGATACATGCAGTGACTATCCATTATGACATGTAGGAATTTTTATATTTATGTACACAATAATAATCTTTTACATTAAAATTTTTAAAAATGTCTGTGCGCTGCTGCGCATCCCTGTGTGTGTAATAAGCAGAGTGTGTGCACCCGCCTATAGGCGCATATAACTAACGCACTCTTTAAATAACAAAAAAAATTGCGCCAGACTTTAGACCAGGTTTCAGTTGGTCAAAGGCGCAGTCTATTTCAGTTGCCTCAAAATAGCAACGCGCCAGCAATGCGCCTGAACACACCTCGTTTTCAGACCAGCACGCCCATGGGTGCACAAATGGGTGCAAATGCATTTGCTATTTAAACAACGTGGCGCAGGACGTGAAAATGACAACTGCGTCGGACTGAAACTAGCAAAAAACAGTTGCGTCGCGCCTCATTGCACCAAGTTTATGATAGGGCCCAATTACTGTAATTACTGATGAGACCTGCACCATTCCTCTTTACAAAAATGTTTCAGTTCAACATTATGTTTGGGAGGCCAAAGAGGTCAGGACCAAAGGCCTATTTTTTTCTGCTGAACCCATTTTGTTGTTGATTTACATCTGATCTTTGGGTCGTTGTCCTGTTACATCACCCAACTTCTGCTGAGCTTCAACTGAAAGACAAATGGGCTTTCATTCCCATGCAAAATGTCCTGATAAACTTGAGCTTTAGCTTTCCATAATGATAGCTAGCAGTCCAGGCCCTGATTCAGCAAAGTAACTCCAAAACATGATGGTTAGGTTGAGATGTTGATGTTTGTGTGCTGTGTCATTTTCCTCAGCATTGTAAATCTTTGACAAACAGCTTTGGTTTCATCTGTTGACACAATGTTGCTAATAGGGCTGTGGAACATCCTGGTTTGTGTGTAATTTGTTTTATCAGACTGTGTTTGTCTTTTGTTCAGGTCAAATTTTATGACCAGATGAGGCAGAAATCCATGCTAAATGCAAGCTCATATACTTTATTCGTACAATTTTTTCTTTTTAGTTAATCATTAGTCTGATTGGTAAACTGTTGGTGGACCACTGTTTGCCTCACAAAGGACTTTGGCCATCATGTGAGGCTATGAGCATATTAGTACAAGGACAGCCTACCAAACTGCAGAGAAGAGATCCCTCCCCACGCCTGTGTGAAATCACCACTGTCTAAACACTTCAGGTCAGGTGTGCACGGTGAATGATCTGACACAACCATGTCAATATCACCAGCTTTGAGTGCAGACCATAAGAGCTCCTGACAAAGAAACAGATTATAATTAGAATGCACTGTAATTAAGGGTTGTGGACGTTCATTGGACAATCAAAAAAAGACTCGTTCACCCAAAATTCCATCATTATTGTGTTCTAAAGAAAGTCAGTTCTATGACCGACTTTCTTCTGAGGAACACAAAAAGAGAAATTTAAAATGTAAACAATTTTTAATGCACTTACAAGTAATGGAAAGCTTTTAAACTTCAAAATTGATACAAAAGCACCATAATCAAAGTATTGAATAAAATAAGTAAATAAATTCCACATGTCTGTTGTTCTATATTACAATTATTCTAAAGACATATGATAACTTTGTGGGAATTTTGTAGAGAATAAGTTCTTTCCGATTTGTGAATAAATCATTCTTTTTGACTCTCTTTTCATAGGCCTTGTTCAGACTGTCAGCAAAAATCTGATTATTTGCATTTCCAGATATTATCCTGATGGGTTTTTGAAAGTCTGGACAGCAAAAAACTAAACAAAACAAAAAACACATGCAATTGTCTAATCTGATTCAAACCACATATAAAGGTGGGTTTTAATGTGATTTCAATCTGATTTTTACAGATGCTTCTCACTCTGGAGGCTCTGGCTGCTCAAATCTGATTTTAAATGGTCTTTTGTTTCACTCTTTACATGATACAAAATGATAACATCAAAACTGTTGACGGAAATGCCAAAAGTATCCATACTGTATTCGAAAGGAAGTCTTCTCCATCAGCTTTTTCTTGTGTGACAGAGAAGTTCTACACCGCGACTCGACAGGGTGCTTATTTGGAGATCAAGATGACGCACCTCCATTTTGCCAGAATCTGTTTTGAGAACCTCATCAAAAATGTGGGTACGCATGATAACCAAAGCAACATGTCAAATGCAGAAATGTTAATTCATGCGTTCATGACCTCAAGGTTAGATTATTGTAATGCTTTATTGGGTGGTTGCTTTGCGTGCTTAATAAACAAACTCTTGCTGGTCCAAAATGCAGCAGCGAGAGTTCTTACTAGAACCAGGAATTATGACCATATTAGCCCGGTTCTGTCAACTCTGCACTGGCTCCCTATTGAACAACAAACACAATTTAAAATCTTGCAAATTATTTCTAAAGCCCTGAATGGTTTAGCTCCTCAATACTTGAGCAAGCTAATATCACATTATAGTCCTTCACGTCAGCTGCAATCTCAAACCTCTGACCATTTGATAATACCTAGAATATCAAAATCAACTGCAGGCAGCAAATTCTTTTCCTATTTAGTGCCCAAACTCTGGAACAATCTACCTAGCGTTGTTTGGGAGGCAGACACACTCTGTCAGTTTAAATCTAGATTAAAGGCCCATCTCTTTAACCTCCATATCATGACCAGATAGTGGATCAGCACCTAGAGACGACCTCTACAGCCCTGAATGTCAGCGGAGATCATGTCAACTAGATGCGCCCCAGAGACAGATCCCCTGCAAAGACCTCATCACCTCTATGACCATCGGCACAAGACCACAGGAACCAGACAAGTCCTCTGCACCTGTGTTGCAGCCTGGAATTACACCACGCCATGCTGGTTTTGTCTGGCCAGAGGAGAACTGGCCCCCCGACTGAGCCTGGTTTCTCCCAAGGTTTTTTCTCCATTTGTGTCACCGATGGAGTTTTGGTTCCTTGCCACTGTCGCCTTTGGCTTGATTAGTTGGGGACGCTTGACTGATTGCACAGACGCTATTGGAAGAGAGCTGAACTGGATGATGACATCACTGAATCATCAATGAACTGACTTTAGCTGGAAAAATGATTCTTTGTTATTGTCTTCTTGCATTATTGACAATCTATTTTCCTGTTTGACACTGTAAAGCTGCTTTGACAGAACCAGTATTGTATAAAGCACTATACAAATAAAGGTTAAAAAAATTATGCAGATAAGTTGGTTTGTGTGTGGACACACACATCTGATTTGATCTCTTGCAATTAATAATGCAGACAGTCTGCCTGAAAATATCTGATTTGAGAAGAAAAAAAAATTGATTTGCCTGCAGTCTGAACATAGCCAATGTTCACAAAACTGGTCAAAATTCAGTCACAAACAAGACTGATAGGGTTCTTGAGTTCAAATCAGACAGCCCACTGGAGGCAAAGAATATCGGTAAATTTCAGTCTGTTCGTCTCACAAAGCTATATTGTATGACTCCAGAAACCTTGAAATATCGTACATGAGTCACTTTTATGATACTTTTATGGTGCTGGTTTAATGTCCTTTTTTATGCTTGAAAGCTCCAGTCCTCATCAGTTGTAACTGCATAGGGAAAATGACCTGTGTATTCATCAGAATTTAGTGTTCCACAGAAGAAAGTAATTCATTTTAAGGTCAACAATTACTTTAACAAGTTTTAGCATACAATTATAGAAATATGATCAAGACCAACTTTAGTTGATCAACTTTTTCTGTCAACCTGATTGAAATCTGTTTCATTGTCTATAATGCATATTGCTGTTACCTGGTTGGCTGTGTCTCGTATCGGGGGGCAGCATTTAAACTGAGTTGCACGTGCTGGAATGTTCTCTGCACATAGGTTGAGGTAGTGATGGGTGGTCTCTACCGTCAGTGGAGCTCCAGCCTTTCTTGCTGACCTGATGAGCTCCAGAGGATGGGCTGATGACAGGTGCACAATGTGGCATCTCACTCTGATAATAAGAACAGAAGATGCTGACCTCTCACCTCTCATCTCTTGATTGACTACCCTAGTCTGCAGAAACAGCCATTAGATAATCAAAAGTTGAGGACTTCACTCTAACTAGTGCCATCATATCATACTGATATTGTAAGCAGAGCTGAGTGACAGTACGGATGGCCTCAAGCTCCATAATGTCAGGCCTGGACCTCAGGAAGGTGGAATATTCATGTGGATCTGAGTAAAAAGAGTAAAGCAGGAATTTCCATTGTAAAAATAATACATGTTCATGATTTCAAGTAGAATTTAAATTTAATTGACATTAAATTATCAGTCTCATACCGCATTTCTCAGCAGCTGGATGCTGGACTTCTTGCTCTGCATGAAACTAAATCGAATAGATTTCATTAATTTAAGTCCCATAATTATATTTTCATAATTATGTCTGATTCTAAATTATGTCTGACCAGATGCATTTTTCTCATTGACAGTTGTGCACAATTTTACCACTGGCACACTGATTATAAGGTACTCCTTATGATTGGAGATGAGATGGCTCACCAGCAGAACGCTGCCTGTGCCCTCGAGTTGTTTCATAGCTGCATGCACATCAGCATCACTCACATGAGGAAACTCATCCACTCCACTGTGAATCAGAAAGCACTTAAATCCAGCCACACCAGCCTGGATCATCGGCCTCAGCTCCAGCTGAGATGGACAAACAGAAAGAGATGGGCAGGCAGACAAACGAAGAAAATACAGTGGGTATAGAATAGAATCACCCTTCTTTAAAATAATCACTTTTTTTTGCTTTGCAGCCTGAAATGAAGACAGACACAGTTTTTGTTTTATCCAGCTGTATTTACTCAGTGAAAATTATAACATCTAAGTTAAAGATATAACACCAACATGTCAGGAAAAAAAACAGAATCACCGAGTTGGAAAAAGGATCACCCCCTCCTAAAAATGACTTGCAAACTCAATCCGGTGTATCTAATCACCTTCTCAATGGCACACAAAGCCATTTGACTTTCAACTGTGATCAGCTGTGCTCATTTTCATCAGCTCAGCATGAAAAGAGCTTTCCTGGAGCATTTCAGTCCTTGGTAGTGCGACTGAAGCAAATCAACTATGGGTGGCAAGACACTGTCTAAAGATCTCTGGGATAAAGTTGTGGACAGGCACAAGAGATGGAGATGGATGCAGAAAAATTTCAACGGCTTTATCAATGCCTAGAAGCACAGTGAAGTCTATGATTAAGAAGTGGAAGGTATTTGCTACAACACAGACCCTCCCTGGATTAGGGTTGTCACTTCAAACTGGATGAAAGAGCCAGGAGGAAACTGGTTAGAGAGGCGACCAAGAGGCCCGGGATAAAGTTGTGGACAGGCACAAGAGATGGAGATGGATGCAGAAAAATTTCAAAGGCTTTATCAATGCCTAGAAGCACAGTGAAGTCTATGATTAAGAAGTGGAAGGTATTTGCTACAACACAGACCCTCCCTGGATTAGGGTTGTCACTTCAAACTGGATGAAAGAGCCAGGAGGAAACTGGTTAGAGAGGCGACCAAGAGGCCTACAGCAACTCTGAAGCAGTTGCAGGAATTTATGACAAAGAGTTGTCATTGTGTGCATGTGACAACAATATCAGAAATTCTCCACAAATGTGGCTTGTATAAGAGTGTTGCAAGAAAAAAGCCACTCCTCAAGAACGGCCACATGCAATCACGACTGAGCAGCTTGATGATTCTGAGGCAGATGAGACTAAAATTTAATTATTTGGCCTCAACACTCAACACGAAAATATGCTGCCCTCTGCCAGAAAGTTGTCAATGGGAAGAAGTTTTACCTTCCAACATGATAATGACCCAAAGCACACAGCAAAACTGAGCACTCAGTGGTTGAAGTTGAAGGTGTATGTCCTTGCATGGCCTAGTCAGAGCCCAGACTTAAACCCCATTGAAAATCTGTGGAATGACTTGAAGACTGCAGTCCTCAAACGCTCACCATCAGATTTAACTGAACTTGAGCAATTCTGCAAAGAAGAGTGGGCAAATATTGCAAAGTCTAGATGTGCAAAGTTAGAGAAAGAGACATATCCCAACAGACTAAAGGCTAAAGCAGAAGGTGGTTCAACAAAATACTGATACAAGGGGGCAATCGTTTTTTCCGACTTGGTGATTCTAATTTTTTATTTATTAATTTTTCTCTGACATGTTGGTGTTATATATGTAACCCTCTCTGTCAAATCCAGGCTAAAGTCTCAAAATCTAATTATGAGATAAGCATCAAAGTTTGATTTCAACCATTAATTTCACTATGATTTCAATCTTTGACATGGTCTTACTCAGTCAGTAATAAAGATATCAATATTAAATTTTCACAGAATGTTCTTTACCTTATGAAAGATTTTGTATAGAAAATAGTAAATCACCAAAAAAATGACTTTAGCTTGATTTTTACAGACAGGGTCACATATTTCATTTGGATGAGTTGCACGGAGTAAATACAGCTGGATAAAACAAAAAGTGCACTGTCTTTGTTTCAGGCTGCAAAGCAACAAAATGTGATTATTGGCGGGTGATTATTTTCTATACCCACTGTAAGTTATATTGGCAATAAATTGTTATGCCAATAGTTGGTGAAAAATTACTGTCTTTAGGAGTGAATCATTGAATCATTTACTCAACCCATTCTTTCAAAAATGCTGATTCATTTAGAAACTAAACAATAAATGGCTGCGTCTAAAGTAGATGTACTTGCTTATTTTGAATAAGTACTTATTTTGCAACTGTTAAAAATTATGTTATATAGTATCAATGTGTGTAGTGTGAATTAGTATGCATGAAGTATGAAGAATGCCTATTTGGAGACCGCTGTCTTTTGGAGTAATTATTGAATCATTTACTCAACTGATTAGTTCAAACAGTTTTATTCAGGAACGAAACAAGTTGATGGCTACGTTTTGAAATTGCATACCCTTTGAGTAGATACTTCCTTTGTGAAGAAAAGTGTGCTATGTAGTATGAATCTGTGGTCATATGTGAACACGGCAATCGCGCCCGGATCTGCGCCAAAACAATCGGTCCGAGATCGCCTGAACGAGGTGGTCTCAGCTCGATTGAAAACGAACTCTGGAGTGGTTCGGTTGTAGAGAGAAAGCAATCCGATCCAACAGACCAACGAACCAGGCTATATCACAATGTATAATTGGTAATTATGTAAGTTCCGCGAAAAGCATTAGCTTTGTGGTTTTGCTAATACTTCAAAATGAACCTGTGAATGTCTGTGGGTGAGCACGTCTTTGCCGTTCAAAATAAAAAAGCACACAAAAGTCTTATTGCTCTTCTTCCTAGTAGGTGCATTTTAAAAATGTTTTCCCGATGAATCATGGACTCTTGCTCAAAATGATAAATTAATATAAGGACAGCTACAAAAAAAGCTGTTGTCGTTCCATCCTGATGGATGACAGCCGTGACAGCTAAGTGGATTCCCGGAAAATAAACCATGGAACTTTGACCAATGAGACAACTCTCGCCTGACTTGTATTAACAAATTTGGTCCGTTTAGAAACTTTGCCGTGTTAAAGCAAACCGCACCAAAAATAAAAAGCAACATTGTAATAATTTTAATCCCTGTTTTGGAACAAAGCAATCGATCTACAGGTGTGAAAGCACCCTTAGTTTCAATGAAGTGCCATATACATATCTCGACGCAGCTGATGTTTTTTGGTGTGAATCATTCACTCAACAGATTCATTCAAAAGTGCTGACCCATTCAGGTACAAAGCAATGGATGGCTCCATCCAAAATCACAAAGATATATTGTATAGAGGTACGTGGCATAGCAAATGTTATTTTTGCATTCCCAATATTGTGTGACAATACTTGGATATTAAAAAGTTAAAACAACAGGCTACAACTAAAATTTATTTTGTACAGTATGTAAGTATACCTTGTTTCCAGGGATGACTCCTCCCCAAAATGCTGTGTCTACAAAACACTGCCCTGTAGCAGCACGCAACTTCTCATGAAAGTTTTGAAGAGTTGTAGTTGGTGGGATGCTGTTTCTGTGTACCATGAAATGAATCACCGTGTCAGTTTTATGTTATGTATCAACTATTTATCAATCATATTATTTCTTAACAGTATCCAAGAGATTGGGGGAGAATTGTAACTTTTTTTTTCATTCATAACTCATAGATTCTCCAGATCTACCATCCATTATAATTGAAAAGCAGTTCAGTCATTATTATTGAATTTTAATTTGAAAGTCTATACACACAGAGGCATGTCTACAATTGTGGTGCCTCCTCCAGCAGCAGCTGCTCGCGTGGCGGTCCAGTACCCTTCCCAGGAGGAACGGAAGTGCTGACCCATTCAGGTACAAAGCAGTGGATGGCTCCATCCAAAATCACAAAGATATATTGTATAGAGGTACGTGGCATAGCAAATGTTATTTTTGCATTCCCAATATTGTGTGACAATACTTGGATATTAAAAAGTTAAAACAACAGGCTACAACTAAAATGTATTTTGTACAGTATGTAAGTATACCTTGTTTCCAGGGATGACTCCTCCCCAAAATGCTGTGTCTACAAAACACTGCCCTGTAGCAGCACGCAACTTCTCATGAAAGTTTCGAAGAGTTGTAGTTGGTGGGATGCTGTTTCTGTGTACCATGAAATGAATCACCGTGTCAGTTTTATGTTATGTATCAACTATTTATCAATCATATTATTTCTTAACAGTATCCAAGAGATTGGGGGAGAATTGTAACTTTTTTTTTCATTCATAACTCATAGATTCTCCAGATCTACCATCCATTATAATTGAAAAGCAGTTCAGTCATTATTATTGAATTTTAATTTGAAAGTCTATACACACAGAGGCATGTCTACAATTGTGGTGACTCCTCCAGCAGCAGCTGCTCGCGTGGCGGTCCAGTACCCTTCCCAGGAGGAACGGCCTGGCTCATTAACATGAACATGACAGTCCACTATACCTGGCATTACCAGACTGTTCCCCACATCCAGTACCTGTTATAGAGATGCTGTCTAGTTAGTGCAGGAATGAAAATTGTTTGAGGTTAAATTAAATTGTTTTGTTATAGGGATGTTAAAAATAAATATCAAACCTAATCTATTGTCCAACAAATATAGTAAATAATACATTTAAAACAGTTGAAAACTGTGACATCTTACCCCAACCTGAAATTTATGAAAAATACTCTTGTTTTGTTAGGGATGTAAATATTTAAAAAATAAAGCATACTCCATTTTAATTCTCATGCTAGGCTGTTGTTGAAAAAAATAACTTGTTCTTAAGTGACTTGTCTGATTAAATAAAGGTGAATAATAATAATGCTAGGCAACAATACAATTAATTGAACACATACTGACATTTATAGACATTTGTTTACTTTGTACAATAGTGGGACAGGTTGTCGTAATGAAACCTGCAAAAAAAAAAAGCACTGTAAAGGGTTTTTTAGCGAAATTTAAATAATTATGAAACAAAAATGATAACAGATAACAGATAAATATCAAATCATTCTGTTTACCAACAACTATTGTAATGAATACATTTATGAAAAAATATATTTGTTATAAGAGCATTATTCAACCTTTTGGTTAATATCTACCTTTATAATATAATTGACCCTTTCTTTAATGCCAGTGTAATTTTATTGAATTCACTTCTTTTTACCTACTAATACTTATTAGTTTAGCTAGTTAATTAGCGTATTTTAGTAAATTCCCATAAAAAAAATTCTAAATTAAGGAGGCTTTGAAAAAGGTGTTTACTGACTTTTCTATGTGACAACTAGCCCCGCTCTCCCCATCAAATTTTTATATATAAATATTTGATAAATATTCTTTAAAAAATTTGAAATGATCACAATATAATATTGTAATATTTTGCTGATTGAAGAACCAAACTAATAACTGAGTTACTCATAGCTGAAATTGACCACATTTTCTACAATCATTTCAGTGAAATAAAACCTTCACACAGGAGTCGTTATGGGTTAAACCTGAGGACTGCAATGCTTGTGGTCTCCAGCAGATGGTAATGTCTCACTCTCACAGTCTAGCTCACCTTTCCAGCTGTGTGCACGGAAGCTTCTGAATCAGGCAGAATGCAATTAATCTTTCCTTCCTTTATTATGATAACTGCAGGTCGAATTTCCTCTCCACACAAAACCCTCTGGCTCCGCACAGCACTGACAGTTGATCCTGGCTCCATGTCTGCAATGTATCTTATGTTGTCTATATGAGTTTCTGTCTTTCACTGTCCTGGCAGCAAAAGCTTTCACTCTAAGGTCAATGTACCTCCCTCATTGATCTTTATACGAGTGTCAGCAGGTAGATAAAAGTTCTTCGACCTGTAACATTCAGATTGTTAATAACAAGTAATTCAAGTAATTTCTTTTAAGAAGAGTGTTAAATAACAAGCATGGCAGAATCATACTGAATACATACAGCTGGATGTTGTGTGGCAAAATAGGATTAGATTTGTTTTTGTGTGAGTATTGTGGACACCTATAGGTTGCATTATCCTGTATCATTATGCTTTCATTAGCAGTATTAATTCTAGTTAAAAGCTTGTCCCTTTAAGACGGTATCAGGCATCAGGCACACACCAGCACTCCTTTAGCTGGATAAATTATTCAAAGCATTGCTCTGCTGAGCTGAGACAGAGGAGTAGGGTTTGGAAGGAGAAAGAAACAGAAGGAGAGAAAAGCAGCCACAAGAGACTGCTCAGACTGGCATTGTGTCTAACTGAATGCTGTGGCTGCTCTGCGCTTACTGTGCCTTCCTGCCTGGCCATATCCCATAGTAAATCAAAGAAACGTCCCATTTCAGTTCAAAATCAAAAGAAGAAAAGAGAAATGGTTGCATCAAATAAGTATATGAAAAAAAAACAGCCTTAGCACTCAGCCGCAATCAGAAAAAAAAATTACAATCAGAAAAAATTACAGTCAATACAGCAAATACATTGATAATTTATTATTAATTACTTGGCAATTAGTTTTTTTAGTTTGTTGTTTTCTGGGTTTACATATATTCATTATGGTAATGAAAATATATTTTGACATGACAGTACTGACAATGGGGGTGTCAGTGTTTGATTGTCAAATAATGTCAAAATGCAAAACAATTTTAATGATCATAAAATAATTCTTAATTCTAGAAAAAGTATATTAATTAATAATAAATTATACATATTATGACCCAGATTTGTGTATTAATACACTTGTTTAAATAAATGAATTTATTACATAAATAAAAAATATATATATATTTTATATTTGCATTTGATTGTGAGTGTATACGCACAGTGGGTATAAAAGATCAAAAAAATAATGTCAGATTTTTTTCCACCTTTAATGTTGAAACCAATAAAATTCATGTACTATATATATATATACATATATATATATATATATATATATATATAACATTTTGTCTAATAACTCTCTACAGATAGATAGATAGATAGATAGATAGACAGATAGATAGATAGATAGATAGATAGATAGATAGATAGATAGATAGATAGATAGATAGATGGAATGGAGAGGCTAGAGACACTAAATAAAAAGCTTTTGACTTTGAATCCCATGCATAATAACTTATGTTGTCTTCTTTAAAATATATTCATGGCTGCTGGGTTATCCTTAACTCTTTCAAAATTACTTTGTCTTTTTTTTTTGCATAAATATAACAATTTCACTCTCTAATATTTGTTAATATTACTTTAATTATTGATTTGTACTCTTAAAATACTTATCAGATTATTAGAAACCCAATATAATCTCGTTTTATTCAGTAATAAAAATGTTATAAAGATACACTAATGGCAAACTTAATACTGATTCCATAATGGGATATATTTCTTTACTGTGTCATTTCCTTTTAGTCTAATTCAGTTCCTGATTTTAGAAAATGCAAACAGAGGCTGAGTCAGAAGAATAGAGGTGGATTAATGTCAGTGGGAAAAGCTTCCTTTATGAATGTGTTACATGGGTTTACTGGATTTGTGGGAAGAGCACAGTTCAATTTGCTCTAATAGTTTGTGAGCTGAGAATAATCCCACTGGAAAGCTGATTTTTTTATTTATTTTTTGGCAGATGGCTCAAAAGAAAGGCCAAAATGAGGTCAAATATTATTTACAGATCTTTGCAATTTATTTCAATTTATTTTTAGAAAAAAAAAAGTTAAGTAAAAAAAAAAAGTTAAATGGTTAAATATTGTAAGTTATAAGCAACACTGTAGAACCATAGTTTCTAAAAATATATATTTATAGTAAAACATTTTTGACTTGAATGTTTATTTATTTATTTATTATTTGTTTGTTTGTTTTTATTAATTCATTCATTGTTGCGTAAGTATTGATGGAACATTAAAGCTTAGAAGTTGTAATAATAATAATAATAATCCTTCCTCCTTAATAATAATAATAAAATTGTATTTCAATTACCCCTAAACTTGCATAAAAATTACGATTTTTTTTATCATCAAGAATTTAAGACAAAATTTTAACCTTAGGAAAGGAACAATGTAAATAAAAAAATCTAATTTTACTTTAGCGTAAGCATTGATGGAGTGTTAAAACTTAGAAGTGGAAATAATAATAATAATAATAAGAAGAAGAATTTGAGACAAAATTTTAACCTTCAGTATACTCTGTATAGCCATTAAAGGAAACCCAACATGGACTAATTTTATTCTGTAATGCATATTTCATAAAGATACATTAATGGGATTACTTATTTTCGTAATGATTTGTTTTGTGTGTGTGTGTGTCATTTTCTTTTAGTGTCTTATTAATTTCCTGGAAAATGCAAACAGATGCTGAATTAAAATGATTAGAGGTGAATTTTTATAAATATTATTATGTATTAAAAATCATATTACATTTTACTTGGTTTCTTTTGACATACCACACACATGCAGTCCAGCATTAGCCACTGAATCTTATGTTATGTAGAGCCATGTTTGTGCGTGAGTATGTGTGTGTGTGTGTGTGTGTATCGTACTCCGCAGGGAATCTAATCCCCATCCCCCTCTCCTCCCCCTCTCCCTCTCTTCCTCTCTACTGCATTGATGCTATTGCCTTCCTCAGTCATGATGTCACTGGTTCAGTCAGTCTCAGCATCACTGCTCTAGGCAGCCGGCAGAGCCATTTTGGCTTCTACATTACAGGGCACTCAAAGATCTCTCCTCCAAGAAGCCTTCCTCCTTACAAGCAGGCCTCACCGGGCATCCAGCTACACCTTGCTACACCTCGCTACACCTCGCTGGAACAAATAAAGGATCCTCTGTTAAACGGGGAAAAGAAGATTGTTTTCGACATATCAGAGGAAGAGCTCAAAAAAGAGAATTTGGGAAGCCAGCACAAGAGGCAGTAGTGGGAGCTGAACTGTAGAGTCAATAGCTGAGAGCATCAGAGGATCACCATTGTAAAGGTAAGAGTTTTTTCATTGTTAGCGTGTTCTAGAGGACAATGCAGTATTAATGAGGCTCTCTCTGTTTATTTGGTGTTGGGTCACCAGGGTGGGACTGCCGGTGGGTGCGGTCATTTAGAGCCTGTCAACAAATCTAGACATTATTTTTATAAATATTATTTTGTATTAAAAATCATATTACATTTTACTTGGTTTCTTTTGACATACCACACACATGCAGTCCAGCATTAGCCACTGAATCTTATGTTATGTATTTCCATGTTTGTGCGTGAGTGTGTGTGTGTGTGTGTGTGTGTATCGTACTCCGCAGGGAATCTAATCCCCATCCCCCTCTCCTCCCCCTCTCCCTCTCTTCCTCTCTACTGCATTGATGCTATTGCCTTCCTCAGTCATGATGTCACTGGTTCAGTCAGTCTCAGCATCACTGCTCTAGGCAGCCGGCAGAGCCATTTTGGCTTCTACATTACAGGGCACTCAAAGATCTCTCCTCCAAGAAGCCTTCCTCCTTACAAGCAGGCCTCACCGGGCATCCAGCTACACCTCGCTGGAACAAATAAAGGATCCTCTGTTAAACGGGGAAAAGAAGATTGTTTTCGACATATCAGAGGAAGAGCTCAAAAAGAGAATTTGGGAAGCCAGCACAAGAGGCAGTAGTGGGAGCTGAACTGTAGAGTCAATAGCTGAGAGCATCAGAGGATCACCATTGTAAAGGTAAGAGTTTTTTCATTGTTAGCGTGTTCTAGAGGACAATGCAGTATTAATGAGGCTCTCTCTGTTTATTTGGTGTTGGGTCACCAGGGTGGGACTGCCGGTGGGTGCGGTCATTTAGAGCCTGTCAACAAATCTAGACATTATTATTACGACAGAGAAGGGTTTTTGATTTGAGTATTGGAACAGATGTTGTTCATCATAAATGACCCTCTGTCCTTGTGTACATATTTCTAAGTGCGGGTGGAGTAAATGCACTGTCATTCATTGTCTCAGGCTGGCAGCCACACAGTAATGTCTTCAAGATTGCACTAATGAATCACGATTTGAGAATTTACCGGAGAACAGAGAAAGAATTATTATTTATACTTTTTTTTTTTACAGGACAATTTTTTTTTTCATTGATATGGTTGCGAGTTGGGAACACACACATATGAAATTGCGTATGATTCCCACTGTGCAATAATAGCACTATCTTCTACATATTATGTCACGCAAATGAATGATTTATGTAGATCTGTTGACACTTAAGAGCGCAATGACCAATGACAAAAAAAACTTGATTTTTCTTCCATTATGAATTTATGATCTACATTGCAAAATATTACCTTAAAGGTATAGTTCACCCAAAAATAAAAATTCTGTCATCATTTACTCACCTTCAAGTTGTTCCAAACCTACTTTATGTGATCATATTTAAACTAACTGGTTATATTCAAGTCAAAAATATTATTTAACAAGTCTGACTTACTTTTTACACAAATGACAGTAATTTTCAAGGGTCAGATCAATTAAAAACAGAGCCTTAAAGGGACAATTGACCTAAAAATGACAATTTTGATCAGCTCACGCAAAAATGAAAATCATTTACTCACCCTCATGTTGTTCCAAACCTGTATGAATTTCTTTCCTGTGTGGAACATAAAAGAAGATATTTTGAAGAATGCTAGTAACTTAACAGTTGCTGGTAGCCATTGACTTGCATACAGTAGGGAAAAATGCAATGGAAATCAATGGCTACCTGCCACTGTTTGGTTACCAACATTCCTCAAAATATCTCTTTCTGTGTTTTTGTATCTCCTTATTTTTGAGTGAACTTTCCTTTTAAGGCACTGTTTCTACTTGATCTGACCCCTTAAATACTGTCATTGGTGTAACAATTAAGAAAGACTTCAACTTGAATACAACCAATGAATTTAACGTGAATAGGATGATTAATCAACATGTAATCCAAAATCCACAATCCAAAACAATTGAATAGTTTTCACTTCATCACCTAAATAATACTAAAAACTGCAGCTTTCTGACTTCTTTGTAAACGGACATGCTGCCTTTGAGGTTCATGTCAAATAGTCTAAGTCAGGGGTGCCCAAACTCGGTCCTGGAGGGCCGGTGTCCTGCAGAGTTTAGCTCCAACCCTAATCAAACACACCTAAACCAGCTAATCAAGCTCTTATAGGCATACTAGAAACTTCCAGGCAGGTGTGTTGAGGCAAGCTGGAGCTAAACTCTGCAGGACACCGGCCCTCCAGGACTGAGTTTGGGCACCCCTGGTCTAAGTAGACTAGAGAGTAATGAGAGAGACTGAACCCACTCCGCCACACCAGAATGTGACTCAGCGTGATATTAGTCTAATTGAAAAAACGCAGAATGCAGATCACATGAGATCACTATATGTGCTCTTTCACATTTATTCAGATCTCTTAGTTACTGAAGCAAACTGTTTATAAACAGAAGTAGAACTTGTTGAAAATGAGATTGAGACTTATAGGTCATAAATCTTCCCTGACACATAAATTGTACCTCCATTTTGGTCTGACTAGGAGACTGAGCTAGACTCAGAGTTTGTGGCAGCCAGCTCTGTTATCTGTTATTGTAATCCTAGGAAGCGTACTGACATTTAGCCAGTTGTGCAATTCTTTTGTTGCTGCTGGGCTGAGTATCTCTCTAGAGCCGTAGCTAACCATGCATGATCCTTTTACGGTGAAGTCATAAAGACACAGTCTTCCTCTTTGATCTGAACATTGACATATTGAAAATTATTCTATTTATTGTTTAACCTCGTCATAAGTCACCACTGAAATCATGTTTGCTTGTCATGCCTGTCATCGCTTCATGCCATTTCTTTATAGATACAACAGAAATTATACTCATAGTTGCTATGGTGATAGGCAGCTAAGATATACAGCCTTCCCGAAAGTAGGTGTAATTTAATTTCCAATTGAGAATGGTCTAAATCAATATTTCTCTGCTCATATATAGTAATGGAGCTACTAAAGTAATATCCTCTCTTTTTTCAGAAGTGCTGCACATAGATGAAGGATAATAGATTTTACTGTAAATTCAGTGTACATTCCTTTTTTAGTGCATTGATCAATATGTATGTCAATTAGTAAGCAGTTTTTTCATGTGTAATTATTATAATGTATATATTTAATAACAATATAACTATAATACATTATAAATATAAAAATAATAATAATAGTAAACCAAAAATGTTTCTTTTATTAAATATTATATTTAATATAATATAATAGATAAAGATATAGATATTCCAGTTTTCTGTTTATTGTAATCGGTGGCGTCATGTTTCATTTCTCGCTTTGCAGGTGTGAGCAGTGACCTGGACTTTTAAAGGAGTGCTTTCAGCACACACGCAGAGGCACCATGGCAGGGGCCTCGGTGAAGGTGGCGGTGAGAGTCCGTCCCTTTAACTCTCGTGAGACCAGTAAAGAGTCCAAGTGCATCATCCAGATGTCAGGAAACACAACCAGTAAGTAACCCAACTGCACCTGACATCCAGCAGTTAAATCACTAAGAATACTCAAAACACTCAAGTTTAGAAAGCATGACTTTTATTGTGTGTCTTAATGTGTTGTGCGCGTGTTGTGTGTTTATGGGCCCTGTCTGTGTGTTTGACCTCATTGCATGGATTTTATAAGGGCAGCCATTTTGAGATGGTATGGGACAATAGTTAACTGATCAGTGAACTGGGGGCGAATAAACTCACCAAATCTAATCCGACATTAATTTCATAGTCGGCCATTAATCTAATGTGGCTACAGAAATTGAGAGTTATTAAAACAGAGAAAAAAATAGAGGGATGTTGCAATGAACTTACTGTATGACAACTGACAAGCAGCAATGTCAACAAGCACTACTGCTGTAATTACTAGTGATTTTGGTTTGCTGTTTTTGACAGTTGTCATGCAACCACTTGTTTAGCTGGTAGGGTGTGTGGTCATTTTCAAAGGAACTAATGAGGAGACATCATTTTCTTTGTAAAGGATGTTGTGTTGTAAAGGATCATAAAATCAAGACATCTTAAATGGTTAGATGAGGTAGAAGATGTGTGTGTGTGTGTGTGTGTGTGTGTGTGTCTGTGTGTGTGTATGCTTGCATGGTCTCCAATTAAAAACATTAAGTTATATCCTAAATGGTCACAAGAGGGGACCATATTTTGTTGTTGGGTAAACAATTGAGAACAATAAAACTACATAGAGCCAAGGGTCAACTATATAATGAAAGCAGATTATTTAACTGAAAGGTACAACTATGCTCTTAGGACAAGAGTATTTATCATAATTGTCAGCTTGGGGCAAGGTGTCATATGTGTTTTACATGTTGCAGTTTTATATAATTTACACAAGTTTTGATTTTGAGTAGTATTACAGTTTAAAATAACTGTATTAGATTTTTATATTATATTATATTATATTATATTATAATATATTATATTATATTATATTATATTATATTATAGGGTTGACATACCCTATTTAGCTTGAAAACATGTTCTACAGGATTTTGGCAAAAGGTCAGTGAGTGTTTAATGAACCATTCCTTTTTCATGGACAGTAATTGTTTTTGCAGCCAAGACTTAAATGTATGTGCCTGTTGACTTGAAAAAAATTAACTGTATTAAAATGGTAAGAATACAAAAGTGATTAAACTAGTCCTGGTCGCCACTTTATTATTATTTTTCCTTTTTATCCTATAGTGTGCTCTAGAATGTCACAGATGGGTTAAACATATTAAGAATATTATTTTAAATTGGAATTTGGATATTGTAGTACTCCTTTGTAAATGCCATTTTTACATTATGCAATTTTTCAATAATGTCATCATGCAGCAGACGATTTCTTGGTTCTTAGCATGTGAATGTGCTCGAAGAATTGAGGGAACTGATGGTTGACTGGAGAGAGATTTGATTTCTAATCTGCCTGGCTGGGCGAAACCATTGGTCAATAATGGATGAGAGCTTGTGAAATATTTAGAGTTTGGCCTAATTTAGCTTCCTCCCTTCCTCCTTGTGTTGCTTCAAAAAAACAATGTGTCCACCATCGTCTTTGTATATGAGGTAGTTTTTGATAGAGGGTTGATGTTTACATCAAATATTGAGTCAAAAACTAGAATGGGTCAAGAGAAACTGCAGTAAAAAGCCATACATCATTTGTTATACCTTTGTCTATTTGTAAAAACAAAGTGCACATACAAAAGGGTCCTGATGATAGCACATGTAATATTACACCACAGTATTGTTGTACAGCTTAGGTCAAGGGTTTTACGAAGGAGATGCATTGGGCCTGGCAAATCTGTAAGCCATGTTGCTGAAGATATTTCACTGGGCACTGAGCTAGTGATGCATAATGTAAATATGACATTGTTTGTAGAGTGATAACAGTGAAAGCCTAATACACTCAGTTCTTTTGTTTTAATGGGTCAAGACTGTGAACCTTAAATAATAGCAAAATGAGCCATCAAAAGCAATAACATATTCACTGTCATTGTAAATGGATTGTGCATGTCAGCCTTCTGTCAGATCTTTAATAGTTAGAGATGAACATCACTGCTCTTACAATATTTTAAAATCACATCTGCCATTAACTCAAGTGTTAATGGGAAAAAATCTATACAATATTATATTGTAACAAAAATTTTAACTGTACATTTATTTGCCAGTTACGTTATTATAACATAGACACACACACACACACACATATAGAGAGAGAAAGAGAGAGAAAGAGAGAATGTCCATGATACAGTGTGATTGTACAATTAATTACTGAATAATATTAATTTAGGTAACATTTTATTTAAAGGTGTCCTTGTTACATGTTACATGTACTTACTATTATAATAACAATTAATTATGCATAATTACATGCAAGTAACCCTAAACCAAACCAAATCCTTACCCTAACCACATAGTAAGTACATGTCGTTAATTAATATTACTCAGTACTTATATGTATAATTACACTGTAACAAGGACACCTTAAAATAAAGTGTAACCTTAATTTACTTGTGCTTACTATAGGGTTTGGTTTAGGGTTAGTTTTTATGTAATTATGTTACATTTACTGTTATTACCATAGTAAGTACAGTACATGTAACAAGTGTAACAAGGACACTTTAAAATATAGCGTTACTAGGGCTGAACCAGAATATTCGATTATTCGAATATTCGTTCGGTGGGTTGACATTCGATTTTCAATTTTGAGATTCGAATATTCTTCTTTTTCTCTCGAACACCTGGCATCCCCTGCGAAACGGTTCTCATTCGCGCTTGAATATGAATCGCCCATGAGTGGACATCATGAACGTCATGATTCAGTTAATCTGGAGCACTTTAAATTGAATGAGGACAATACAAAGGCAGTGTGCCAAATATGCGATTTGAAACTGGCCTACCACAACAGCACATCAAGTTTGAAAAATCACCTGAGTTCTGTAAGTAGTACGCCTATAGTATATTGTTGGTGTAAAAAAAACGAGCTGCTTTTATCCGCCAGTAATATTAATCAGTAATTTTACACATGATAAAAACGTGCACTTAATTTGCTTGGAAAATACTTGCGAATACGGCAGTCATAAAAAAAACGTACAGTAGCCCAGCCTAATAATAATTTGTCTATATTAAATGTATTGCTCTTAACAGACCTGTGTTTTTTGTATCACTAGTGCAGTGTCCGTTCTCGGAGAATATAAGCCCTGCCCGCGTGAGGCACACCGCTTCTGACACAACATTTGAAATGCGAGATTACCTGCACAGACTGCCTGTGTGGTTTGCCTGTGTCTGTTCAGAGTCCATTCAAAGACATCTTTTCAAAGCTCTCAACACAATCACCAGGATGCTTCAACCGATCTGTATAAAGCCCCAGTGAAGTGGCGTAAGAGATCTATTCCAAATCTAATGTGAGAAACATTCAATTACTTAACATGTTTGACCTTCTTTTGATGTTTGTTTGTTGTTTATGTGGAGTTATGTCTTTGTGAATGCGTTCTGTAGGGCACTTTACTAGAATTGCAGAGGCTAAAAATGTGCTAATATGCATAAACACACATGCAAACACATCTTTCGGAATTGTTTTGTAGATTGCTGTCCTTTGCTACTTTGAAAAGTAGACTTGGTGTTCGGCAAGAGGGCCGATGATGTCATGAAAGAGCCTTTCTAGTCAGTAATTTGGAGAGAGGCCAGTCCCAGTCTTAATCTGAGGGTGTAAATAACTGGTTGTTAGTGGGAGTCTTAGCCCAGAGAGTGTCTTTTGTGCTCCATGCTGGCTGCATTGTCACTGCTGCCAGCTTGAGATGGGTCAATAGCCGAGTTCTCACAAAGCTGTAGAATGGTGGAAAGCTAAGTGATTGACAGCTCTGACTGGTTTAAGCCACCCTGCTATCACTGAGGCACCATTGGGCCGCTCACTCAAGTTCTTGTAAAAGAGTTTCCTTTTCGTAGGAAATTGTCTCATTACCAAGTCACAGAAGATTTTAACTCTGGTCCCTGTGAGAAAACGAATGTAAAATTCCGTCTAATGGCTTTGAACAGCAAAAAGTCTTCACTGACATGGGGTTTCATTGGTTTCAGTGCTGCCGTGAATTCTGTGTGATGTACTCAGTGATACTGTGGTTAAACATGTGGAATATGTCCATTTAGAAGAGATACCAAATTATCCATTTGATAAAAAACTGTATAATTATGGAAATGGAGATACTTTAGCTAAGAGTTTAAGATAATCGATTGCCATGTTGATCAAAGCACTAAATGATCCTCCCCTGATTACATCACTCCCAGAATTCCCTTTTCTTTGCTGATTGAGACTGGTGTGCATGGAGTCTTCAGTCTTTAACAGAATCCAGAACTTTGATTAAGCTAAAGCTGTGCTATTTTTGTGGTCCTTTGTGGATGTTACTTGCGATATAATCCCAGTGAGATCTTGGGTAAAAGGCATGGTACACTGTGTGGTAGGGATGTAACGATGCTCCACGAGCTGGTTAAACATCGATATAAATATGTGACGAATCAAATCGGTTGAGATATTAAACGAATCGCGATACATTTGGGGATGGGAGTTTATATGAATGTATCTCTGACGGGAACTGACAGTCTTTAGAAAAGTTTCAATGGTATTTTCTTTTCATCTTAACTCTATATAATACATATTTAAAGTGTTTAAAAGCTCAGTGCTGTGCTTTGTTTAAGGTGGTAACCAAGGAAACTCTGCATCGCTGCTGTTCCATAAGCGCCACCTGCTGTCAGAGAGTGAATCTGCGTCTCATTCAGCCCGTCTTCTGTTTTTGAAGTCAGACCATTCTGTTTTTGTTTAAAATTTCAAAGTATACAATCTATTTTAGATTAAAAACTGCTCGTGCTGCATGTATTCAGCATTTTGGTTTGGATCGTGATTAAAGGGCAGTGGCTGCCTCTAATTTTGAATGGAAAGAGCACAGGCAAAGCCTTAGTTTGTATATATGAAGAGATTGTTTGTCTCA